TTATAAAGCCAGGTGTGTGAGTACATGGCTGTAAATCCCAGCACTCAGGATGGGGAACGACAAGCTGGGTGAGACCAGCTCAGGCAACCAGAAAGGCCTTGTCTAGAAAGACAGATAGACAGAGAGAAAGATGAGAGAAGAAAAGAAAGAAAAACATAATTATATTAAATATATGTATTGAAACGCTGGATCAGACCAACTGTTCCTGTGCCTCTAATTCTGCTACCAAAGGAACATGCAACCTAATGCTGCTCTTCTCTCTGTAGCGACCAACGCATGCAGATTTGCCCTGTGGTTTTAGTGCTGAAGGTCCCATGTCCCAGGAAAACCCTCTGTTCCTAAGGAAACCAGGACTGTTGCCCCCATAATTCCCCTCTGCTCACAGCTAACTGCTCAGGTTTCTGTTCCAGGTATCATATTTCCACTTAGCTCCTCATTATATTTTTACTGTTGTCAGCTATGAAAGAGACATTTTTTTCTAAGGTTAAAATTGGCAGTGTGGTTTGACTTAGCCCATTTTTCCAGGTTTCTTTTTAAAACCACGGACCAAATGTTATATGCGGCTAATGAAGGTGGTGGAGTTCACAGGTGTACTACTATTCTGAAAGGAGAGGACAAGCCTAGAGCGTGCTCTCTGTCCTTCTTTCTTTGCATGGCCTGTCCTTCCCTTGCTCCTGAACTCCCTTAGGCTAGCTGCGCTTCGTGGTGCATGCCTGTAATCCCAGCACTCAGGAGGCTGAGGCAGGAGGACCACTGTGAGTTTGAGACCAGCCTCCTGGGCTACAAAGTGAACTCAAGGTCAGCCTGAACTGCATAGGGGGATTCTCTCTCAAAAAGATAAAAGAAAAACTAAATTAAAATAACTTCTTGAGGCTGGGGTCTGTCCTCCCAGTACCATCATGCTGTGTGACACCCAGTCAGTAGTTGACAAGGATCTGAATTATTTGATTGACTGTTTATTTTAGAGACAGGATCTTGCTATGCGGCTTAGGCTGGCCTTGAGCTCACTTTGTAGCTCAGGGTGTTCTCAAACTCAAAAGATCCTCACTTCAGCCTCCTGAGTGCTGGGATTACAGGCTTTTCACCACCATTCCCCAGCCTTGATTGACTTTTTTTTTCAGTACAGGGATTGAACTCAGGACCTTACACTTGCCAGGCAGGCGCTTATACCACTGAGCTATCTGGCATAGTAAAAATGCCACCAATGAAAACATTTTCCCTTCTTATTATATAATACACGTAGGCTACCTTTCTTTAAATTTCTTAAGCATATGATATTATCACATGAACATAGGACTTTTAACTCTAGTTTCTAATTATTATAGTAAGCTAAGTCACAATTACTTTTAAGCTTGTAATTAAATGTATTTTTTTTCAAAAATTTTTTTTCTTACAAAAAAATTCTGTGGCAGATCATAAGCCATTGTAAATGATCTAAAGACACTTTTTTGATAAGTTCTTCCCCTTTGCAATGAGCTTAGATGAGGTCAGGTATTGCAAACACCTCATATCTCATAGCCTAGGATGGCTGCTAGGGTTCCAGACCACCCGGACATACGGGACATTCATGCCCCTGCATCTGTGGCAGTTACTGCGAATCAGTTAGGCTCTTTTCTTTCTGAACTCAGGTAAATACACAGAATTGTTCTCAACCAAGTGGGCTAAATACCTTCACCCATGAGTGATGCGTGTTGGCCGTGCCTGGTCCGGGTGGCTTGTGAGTCCATGAACTAAAACTAAGAAGCAGAGCTCCTAACTTCTTTTAAACTTTTTGTTCTTGTTAATATTTTAAAAAGTAAAGCTTCATTTTCTCCTAAGAAGCAATATGATGAAATTGATTTTTTGGCTGAATATATGTATTGTCAGGTAATTTAAGTACATATTGATCAAACTACTGCTTTATTGTTTATTAACAATTCATGTAGATTATCTCTGTGATAATGTTATTTTAAACCCATTTTGAAGATAAAGAAACTGAGGCCTAAATGTCTATGCAAGGCTGGGAATATAGCTCAGTGGCGCAAGCGCCTGCTTGGCAACCACAAAGTCCTGAGTTCAATTTCTGGTACCCCCCACCTCCAAAAAAAAAAAAAAAAAAAAAAACCCCAGAAAAAAAAAGTCTGGTGCAAAGACACAGAATTAGCAAAGCAGCAGAGTTGGTTTCTAAAACTGAGCCTCTGCACTGCAGAGTCAGAGCTCCGAGCCTTCTGCTTCTCACACTGTAGCATCAAAACCTCTCTGATTCGATCCCTGTAGAATGAAGATGAGAGCCAGCTGTCCTTTCACGGGGTAGCTTATGTGAACATGGTCCCACTGCTGTACCCAGGAGTGAGGAGGATTCGGGGAGCCTTTCACGTCCACCCTTACCTAGACACTACAGTCTATGAAAAGGTAGGAAACATTGCAAAACAGCGATCATCTTCCTGCACGCCTTCTCAGGGTCTTTTCTCTTATCTTTAGTCACATCTTTGCAGATGATTTTTAGACTGCTTGGTATAGTAGGATGGTGGATTCTTGGAGTCATTCCCCTTCAGATCTTACAAACCTGGAAAAACTACAGAGCCCAAAGTTGGAAGTAGCTCAGATCTCCAGCAACATGCGAAAGGAAAAACCAGCTGGGTGGTACCGTCTCCCGGTGGAATGGTGTTTGACCGTAAAAAGGACTGAAATAAAGATATATACAACAGTGTGGATGAATCTCACTATGCTAAAGGAAAGAAATAGACAAAAGAGAGTGTATTCTATTATATGGTTCCATTTATATGTGATTTTAAGGAAGTAATTTAAATTGATAAAAAGCACATTAAGAGTTGCTGGGCATGGTGATGCACCCCTGTAATCCCAGCACTAGGGAGGCTGAAGCAGGAGGATTGCTGCGAATTTATTTTTATTTTTTATATTTTTAGCAAAGGGTCTACAGGGTGTTCAGGGTCTCACTACTAGATCAGACTCCAGTGATCCTCCTGTTTACAGCCTCCCAAGAGCTGGGATTACAGGCACACCACCATGCCCAGACTTAATTGCTGTTTTAGCATGTCCTGGGGGCAGGGCCGGCAGACAGGCAGGCCAGGGGATCAAAGCTGGGCCCTGTGCCTGCTTGAAGGCTTTTTAATCCGCTGAGCTATTTGGCTGGCCCTGCTTGAGTTTAAGACACTGTCTCACACAAAAAGTAGTTGCTTGGAGTCAGGGATACTGGGAGGGGAAGATTACATTAAATGAGAGGAAAATATTAAGGATGATGGGAAAGTTGGTCATTTGATTATGGAATGATTTCGTAATCATTTTAGAGTGCAGTTTATAACAATTTACACTTTGCTAGCCATGAATAAAAGTTGTTTTACCACATCTTTGCCATAATGGACCATATCACACTTTAAGACTTGCCTAGCTGTTCTCTCTGTTTTGTGTCTAGATATCTAGAGATCCCCTGAAAGCCTCATGTGTCAGGTGGGGCTTTTTCAGAGGTGATGGAATATAGAGTGTGTGATGCTGAGATTGGTTCATGGTGCGGTGCCAGGCTCAAAGGCTCAACGGTTCATGGTGCGGTGCCAGGCTCAAAGGCTACCTGCCCTGCATAGCCTGGATAAATTATTATTATTTTTAAATTTGAATTTATTTTATTTGTATTTATTTATTTTTATTTTTTGTATTATAAGGAAAGGCCTACAGGGTGTTCAGGGTCTCACTACTAGGTTGGACTCATAGTGATCCACCTTTTTACAGCCTCCTAAGAGCTGGGATTATAGGCGTGCACCACCTCAATTGCCATCTCAGCATGCCCCGGGGGTAGGGCCAGCAGGGCAGGCCCAGGGATCGAACCCTCAGTCACTGTGCCTGCTTGCAGGTGCTTTAATCCGCTGAGCTATTTGGCCAGCCCTAAACTGGATAAATTGTAAGGGATAGGGAGAGCTGTGGTTGGGCGGGGGAGATAGAAGTATAAGTGCCCGCCTGGCAAGTGCAAGGTCCTGAGTTCAATCCTTGGTACACGCCCCCAAAAAAGAAAAAGACAAAAAAAAAAAAAAAAAGAAAGAACTGTGGTCGTCCTTGTTGCTTTATGACTTTCTGCCTGGCATGAATGGTTCTCCTCTGTGAAGCTACCCTGCCCTGGAGCCAGCCAGGTGTGGACTGAAATCTCTATAAAGTACAAGTTTACTAAACTTTTTCCCCTTTAACTTTGGGTGCAAGGTATTTTGTCTCGGCAACAAGAAAAGTAGCTTTACAAATACAATAAGTTGTTGTTACTTAATAATTTATTGTTAATATTTTTAAACTATTATTTATTTATTTTATTTTTTATTTGTGTGGGGGGAGGCCAGCTCAGCCCAGCAGGGGGCGGGGCTGGCTGGCATGTGGTGCTGGGGGATTGAACCGCGGTCCCTGTGCTTTGCTAAGCTTGCTCCAAGTAGGTGCTCTAGACCACTGAGCCATCTCACCAGCCCCAGAGGCCAAATGTCTTGCTCTCTCTTTTGTTTTATTTTTGACTGTGTGATCTTGGTATGTAGTTCAGGCTGGCCTTGAACTCATGGTGATCCTCCTGCCACAGCCTCCTAAGTGCTGGGATTTCAGGCATGTGCCACCATGCCTGGCTGTCTCTTTTTTCAATTTCTTGGCTATTTGGCACTTATTTTGTGAATTGCTGTAACTTGTACTTTGTCCATTAAAAGAAGTTGGTGTAGTTTCTTCTAGATTCCAAGAACTGCTTTACATTTTATGAATATTAGCTATCTTTTTCATATGTTTTAAAATATTTTCCCTAGTTCTCTAGTTATACTGTGATTTTGTGTATGATGGTTTCTTTTATTTTTTATTTTTTTCAAAGTTTTATTGATAAACATATAGCAATGAGACAGTTTCACATCAAATCGAGAGTACAGTTTCAACAAATAATACACTGCATATATTCTTCTTAGTGGTTAATTGCTGTACAAGATGCAGACTTGTGATCCTACTTACAAACACCATTAGAAAAAATCATTCTATTCATTAAGAGAATGCAACTTTATATCTATCCCAACCACTTTGAATACACAGATACAAAATGGACATTCATAGTTATATCCCATTTTTTTTAAGTTCCGTTATTGAATATTATAGGTGTGTAAACTCAGCAAAATATTCTAAAAGAGTCCAGTAGCCCATAATAGCAATGGGTCTTCTGTTTAACTGGCAATATCAGAAAGTATTGACCTGAGTCCCCCACAGCTCAACATAACAACATGGCTTTACTTCCTATATTTCGTCTTCATACTTTTCTACTGGATGGTTAAGACCAAGGTAAAGCAGGACCTGTGCAACAAGAGTTGTAGCTTTTTGGTCTGAGAAGGTCAGTGAAATGCCCTCAGGATTTATCCTGAGATCCTGTACCTCAGATATGGTTTCTTTTAAATATAGAACTTTTTTTTGGTATTTAGTACAGGGTCTCACTGTACTGATCAGACTAGTAACGATTGTCCTGTTTCCAGACTCCCAAGCACGGGGATTACAGGTGTGTGCCACCATGCCCAGTCTTAATTGCCATCTCCATGCACCCTGGGGGTGGGACCAGCTTGCCATGCTGGGGATCGACCCCCAGTCCCTGCATCTGCCTAAGCAGGTGCTTTAATCTGATAGCTTCATTTTTGGTAATCACAATCTTGTTTGATATGATTTGCTGCCTTTGAGACTATGAAGTCTTCTCTTAATTCATATCTGTAGTAACCAGTTATATTTTATACAGTAATATTTATTTTAATAAAGTCATTTAAAATTTATTTTGACTTACGCTATATTAACATTTTTATTTTATTTTAATTCTAATTATTATTATTATTATTATCGTAATTATTGTGGTACTGGGGCTGAACTCAGGACCTTTCACTTGCCAGGCAGGTGCTTATGCTACTGAGCTATCTCCCCGGCCCTATATTGACATTTTTAATATTCTACCATATATCTAGATGACTTTAACAATTATCTTTTTATTTACTTTCTATTTTTTCCCTTTTTATTAGCCCATGTTAGCAGTGCATACTGATCACATTCCCCACGTGAAGTTGGTACGTGGACACTGCACTTCTTCCTTCCTTGATTTGTTGGCTTGTGTGGAACATTTATATTTAACATAAATTTTCTCTCTTTTTATTTTTTTGAAACATGGTCTGGCTACGTAGTTTAGGCTAACCTGGACTCATCATGTAGCCCAGGCTGGCCTTTAACTCACATCCTCGGTCTCCTTCCAGTTTGTGAAGCATTTATTTCCCTATTTTCTATTGTCTATCTTTTATTTTACTCTTTATATTTCATGTTTCTTGCATAAGAGAAACCATGCATTATCTGAGCCCTATGTCTGACTTTTTTCATTTAACATTATGGTCTCAAGGTGCAGCTATTTTCCCACAGATGACCCAAGTTTATCCTTCTTTATAGAACCCCGTTGTGCACAAACACCATGCTACCACGATTTTTTTATCAGTTCATCTGTTGATGGACATCCAGGCTGCCTCCAAGGCTTAGCTGTCACCACTGTGGTGGTACAGTCGTGGCTATGCCTGGATCACTGTACTGTGATGTTTCTTACTTTTTAGGGAGCACCTAGGAGGGCAACAGCTGGTTAAGTGAATGTCTAGCGTTAGTTTTTGAGACACTTCCATAATGCTTGTGCTGGTTTACATTCCCACTGATAACGTAGAAGGGTTTCTTTTTCTCACACCACCTCGCCAGCATTTCTATTGGATTTTTTTTGGGGGGGTACTGGGGATTGAACTCAGAACCTTGTGCTTGCCAGACAAGCACTTATTGTACTGAACTATCTCCCTGGCCCTCTATTGGATTTTTTGATGATAGCCATTTTTTTTTCATGAAAGCTCAGTGTTGTTTTAATTTGGATTTCTTTAATCACCAGAGATGTTGCACATTTTCCATTTGTACTTCTAAGAAGCAGCTATTCATTTGACTTGGGCGTTTTATTTTGGAAAGCCTACTTTTTTAAGTTCTTTATTTGATCTAGCTATTAGTCCTCTGTCCAGTAATTAACCTTTCTTTCTTTTTTTGGTGGAACTGGGGATTGAACTCAGGCCCTTGCGCTTGCCAGGGAAGCACATATTCCACTGAGCCATCTCCCCGGCTCCTTATTTTTAGTTCTTGCTATTATAGTTCTCCCAAAAGTATTTATGAGTATAGACTTTTTTGGTCATATTAAATTATTTCCTAAGATAAATTCTTAATTGTAATTTCTGGTTCAAATATATTGCTTGGGGCCGGGGAGATAGCTCAGTAGCATAAGCACTTCCCTGGCAAGTGCAAGGGCCTGAGTTCAATCCCCGGTTCCGCCAAAAAACAAAACAAATATACTGCTCATCAAAGAGAAGAAAGGTTTGTACTAACATTGTTTATGCAAGATACCATGTCTACATCTTTTCCTCTGAATATCTACTATGAAGACAACAATATGCAATGTATTATTTATTGTAACTGTCATACTAACCTATTTTGAAACTCTTTCATTGCTATTTTATGTTTTTCCATTAAAATAAATAAAAGATTTAAAAAATTAAAAAAAACAAATATAATGCTCAGTTGGTATACAAATAGATAATGGGATTTTTATGACATTATCAAAAAACAACTGTTTACAATGATGAAATAATAAATATTTGTTTATTTTATGAAGAATTGCTTTCTCCTAGGAAACAATATGATAGAATTGATTTTTTCCCTGGGCACTTAGACAGTTATCACTAGGTGTCCATGGAAACTGGATCTGGGACCACCTGCATGTTCCCCAATCCATAGATGCTTAATTCCCTTACGCAAGATAGCATGGTATTTGCACAGAACCTACACATTCTCTGTATCCTTTAATTTTTCTCCAGGTTACTTATATTGCCAGTGCAGAGTAGGTGCTATGTAAATAATTGTTAAGACTGTTGTTCCAGCACTGATAACAAGGAAAAATAGATAACATGTTCAACACAGATAAAATATTTTCAAAATATTTCTGATCCGTGGTTGTTTGAATGCGTGGATGTGGAAGACGTGGAGCTGGAGAATCAACTGTGTACATGTGTATATGATCACGTATTTTTTGTAACAATTTTAGGGTTATTCATTCCTTTATTTATTTGGTGCAGGGTCTCACTATGCAGCTGAGACTTGTAGTGATCTTCCTGTCTCAGCCTCCCCAGCTCTGGGATTACAGGCGTGTGGCACCAGGGATTGAACCCAGATCCTTGTGGTTGCCAGGCAGGTGCTCAGACTTCTGAGCTATCTCCCTGTCTCTGTTTTTTTTTTTTTTTTTTTTTTTGACAGGGCCTCACTTGGGCTGACCTTGAACTCAGTCCTCCTTCCTGAAGTCCTCCCCTGGAGGGCTTTGGTCACAGGCATGTTGTGATTATTAAAAGTCAGAAGGGGCAACTATATATAACACTGTGATTCCCTCATGATATCTGAAGAAATAACTAATGGAATTGAAAACAAAAATGGACAACTGGACAGTAGCATTTAGAAATTTAAAAAGAAAAGCAAATTTCAATATTTTACTCTCAATACTTGATAAGACAACTGTATCAAAAATCTTCGTTGCTAGACGTGGTGGTACATGCCTGTAATCCCAGCACTTGGGAGGTCGAGGCAGGAGGATTGCTGTGAGTTAAAGGCCAGCCTGGACTACATGATGAGTCCAGGTTAGCCTAAACTACATAGCTAGACCTTGTTTCAAAAAATAATGTTGAGTATAAACGTTCCATACATTCCAACAAATCAGCCCTACGAACTACCCAGAGAAAATGAGAAGAACATTCACACAGACATGTATATAAGTTCACAACAATCCAAATTATTGCTGCTATTGAATGGGTAGGCGATATATATCTCTGTACAATAGAATACCATTTAATAATGAAAAATGAAATAATTACTAATAATATAATATCCTCAAATCACTTAGCATTTTGGATGAGTAAATTTCATGTAATGTAAAATATATCTGAACAATTCTGCTTTTGTAAAAAAAAAAAAATGGCATGAACCACTAATTCATGCTAAGACAGATGAAGCCCCAAAATCATGTTAAGTGAAAGACAACTTCCCTGGCAAGTGCAAGGGCCTGAGTTCAATCCCCGGTTCTGCCAAAAAAAAAAAAAAAAAAAAGATGGCAGCACATTGCAATTACCTTTGTTTTAGGTGCCAGGAATTGAACTCAGAACCTTGTGCTTGTCAAGCATGTGCTTCTGCTGATGAAGTATATCCCCGGCCTGTCCCACTGGCTTTTAATCATCATGGCATGGCTGTGACCGTATCACGTGGGAGGTGGAGGAAGGAGGGCTCAGTTCAAGGCCACCCTGGGTTAGACAGTGAGACCCTGTCTCAAAAAAAAAAAAAAGAAGTTACAAAATGGTCTCCCTATACAGCTTATTCTAGAGTTTAAATCTTTTAAAAAATGTTCATCTGTGAAATACAGTAATTATTATAGATGTGGTAAGATTGTAAGTGATATTTATTTATTTAATTATTTGGCCCCTCAGGATGCCTTCAGGGCAGGTCTGGTTTGGCTTAAGGATGAGGGGATCGAACCACAGCATCCTGAGCCTGACTGCTTTGTTTCAGCAGGCACTTAAACACCTGAGCTAATGGGCAG